TATATATATATATATATATAGTAGTCCTATTGTAGTCCTAGACAGCAAATGGCAATAAGCCCCTTCTTCTTTTGTGATTACTGTATGATGTGGACTCCAGTTTTTTGAGGCTTGGGAGGTCTCTTGACTTTTTGTGATATATCTAGTCTTAGTATTTACAGTGTGGGCTACAATTACAGGAAAGCATTTTGATTGCATATTTATGTCTCTTGTGGGAGAAGCAAGAGTTAATGTACAAGACGATATTTCTGTCCGCCTGCAAGCCATTAGCACAATTTGATTGTTAGCTTCTTGACAAATTAGGGTCAGCGATCCTGGATAGTCACACCGTCTTTGGCCAGCTAGAATCATTTGAAACTGATGTCATTACCAGCTTTAAATCAACTTTCTGCTTGTTTGAACATGGTCACCTGGGTCTGCAACACACAAGGACAAAGAGAGGTTGACTGTGTTTGTCTAGCCAAGTAGCGATCCTTAGGTTTGTGAAATTGAGTTTCAGGAGCAATAATCTGTCATCTGTCCCCATAACATACATTTTTTAAAACAAAAGGCTGCATTTTCCTTTATAATGAAGAGATCGGGTCTGTCCTGGAGAAGCGTTGATCAAGGGAAACCAGCGACTAATATTTAATAAAATGTCAAAAAATTGTCTGCCTGGGACAGTCATGTATCAGCTGTCAGAGAAGAGAAAAGAGACAAACTCGCTGCTTGCAAATTCTCTGCCATGATTAACATTTTTTTAATGGATCCATCAAATGCGCTAATGCTTTCTCTTTCCAGTTGTGTTTGCTGTGATACCGATTAGTATTGGCATGCACACTACATGAATGTCTTATCTAGTTATTGAATTCTGATGCATTTTGCACTGCAGTCCCTGTTTGGTTTGCCTTGCCTAACAACATGTCTTCAGTCTGGTTTCCTTGAGTTGTATAGGCATGGGGATTTAAAGGCCTAGTTCACCTTTCCCACCATGGTTAATGTTGCACCCATATTTAGGGTGCAACATAAAACCTGGACGCATTCCCCAACCCCCCACCCTCAAACCGCCCCCACCTATTTGAATTGCAGAGTAGTTTTCCCTGGAGCGTCCTGTTGATATTTTATTTTAGCTCAGCTGAGCGTGGCTCCATCCATCTAGTTGCATCACCATTCACAGGGTTCAGATTGCAAGTCCCATTTGCCACCAGGGCAGAGGGACTCAGAGATCTCAATGGATTGCAAGTGTAGCAATGGACTTGTAGTCCATTGATTTCTTTCTTCAGCATCATAACTGAAGGTCGGTACCTCTGTATGGACCTGGGGCCGGGATGTAAACAATGCAGGAGCCAGTGCATTGAACGCACAATACACTGATCGCGGTTGCAATTCTCTGCAAGCAAGGAGAACTATGGGGCCGGCTATGGCCTGCTATATGCTGGGAGTGCCGCAGCCAACAACTGGCAACTGGCTCTGCCTCTCTAGAGGCAGAGCCAGCTATACCCGACCCCTCCTCCATCCTTCCCTCTAGTCAGCGATGGAGGATCGAAGAGGGGAAGGGGGAATCCCTGCGGGGAGCGATGACTAACAGTCTGCAGGGGGATGATCGGGAACTGAGCGGATCAGCTGTATATTTTCACTCACCTCCCGATCAATGGAGCCGACGTGTGACAGTCTCAATGTTGCACGTCGGCTCTAACTATGGGGATGAGTGTAATTCATGCACCCCATAGTTCTCCTTTAATGCAAAAATTGAATAAACGCACATTTTTTATTTTATTAATGTTGGTGCATTTATAAAATCTATGCAAAAGGTGGAATATGTCTTTTAGCTGGTACTCCAGGCAAACAGGTCAAATACACATTTCAAATAAATATATGTTTACTGTTGTGACCTGCAAAATGATTTGTATTTTTGTCCTGATTCTTGTTATGTTAACACCTCAGCTTTACCACACATTCAGCTACTCAGTGAGCAGGCTGGAGAAGAAGAGGTGACATGGGAACAAATAAATAAGAGCGTCATCTCTACATGCGGAGGTGTTTTAATTACAAGATTGTTCGTACAGAATAAAAAATAGTCACAATAAAAAAAAAATGTAAAAAAGTAATTGTATGCATTTTAACTGTGTAACTAGCTGTTTGCCTGGCATTACTCTTAGAAAACGACTTCCCTTTTTAGACAAACAACTCAGAGAAATAATTAACTTTATAAAAATGTTTACCATTCTTGTTCCTGTACGACTTTATAGGCTAGTTAAAGCGACTCTGTCCATTTATTAAACAGGTTGTATAGAAGAGCGCCCTGCAAAGCGGGCAGTTGATGCTTGCCTGCCCCACTGCCCATGTGGTTCACCTCGTCTGCAGTGAAGAGAGAAGTTAGCTGAAATATTTTCAGCATCTGCTACACCTCCGGTTGTGCCAAATGCCAAGTCCCTCCCTATGCTCTGGGATTCCTTTGTCCAGCCAATATGTACTGTAGTGATATAGGGACTTGCGGAAGGAAGTGCAGTTGGTATCGAACTCTCTAGGTAGTGTCAGAGGCAGATTTTCCAGGATGTTTATTTCATTAATTGCTTGCTTTGAGGGGAGCCTTTAAAAAAAGCTGCAGAGTACAAAGTATCCATAATGCACCCTTTGAAATGTTGAAATCTTGCTGATTGCCATGGAAGTGTCTTTATGTCTCGTCTAGAGTCTAGTGTCTCCATATGCTATAGAGTTATCTTGTAAAGTGATTGAGTCATTTCTATCAATACTTGGCTGGGAAGACTATGTCTTCATATGGGTCATAACTAGGTCACTTCTGCTACACTAATCAGCAGCTGGGGTTTGAGCAATGGACACTCCAGTCAGAGGCTTTCCACTCAGGTTAGCACCTGTTTACAGCTGTGCCCTTGCCATGGCATTCATCTATAATGTGCATTAATGTATGTCGTTTTACATGCACGTATGTGAGTTTAGACACATATTTAATGCATGCGTGTATTAGGTTTTTTGCATTTTTATACCCATTATGATAAAAATATGCATTAATGCACACTTTTATGCAGTACAATCCACTCCTGGGGGCCTTTTCAATATGGGGTACATAAAAACCTAGCACAGTGCTGAGCCTATTTACCACTTACAGTAGAATTGAAGAAATTGTTTTTAATTCACTTGACGTTTCTTTACACGAATCAGTTAAATGCAGGCATTATATTTTGTGATACTCAATGTGTAAAAGTCCATTCACGAAAACAATCTCAGGAATGTTAGCTCTTGGAAGTAACGTTGGCTTTCAAGTGCTCATTTACATCATACCGCAACATTTAATGCA